TTTTCCTATTATTTCATACAGTTTAATGAGGTTTCTATCCCAGGAAAATCAGAAGGGCATAACTCCAGCAAATACTTGTGCAAGTATGACCAAGTTTAGTTCTCATCTGAAAGCCCAGATAACAGTCACATTCACAACTTAATGGTATTATTACATTTTTTCCCTTAGATATACCTTACCTTGCCTATACCCACGTTAGGTACACACTCCCATGATGGAATCATCCACAGAAGAAATTCTAGAAGACTATTTTCTGCAGCAACAGGCAGTACTGCAGCATATTATAAACACAAATGGATGGCAACTGCCTGTGAGAAAAAAAAGCTGACTGCAGTGCATGCTCAAATGCATGTACAAACAATTTAGTCACCAACCTCTCCATTTCCTGCACACCCATTTCCTGCAAGTTTCTCTGCACCTCAGGTGTCAAATCCAACCTGGGGCCCTCAGGCATGAAGGGAAGTGACAGGGTGATGATGCTCGACAGATTCCTAAAACGCCTGTGTGAGGTATCAGCACTATCAGGATAAATTAAACTATCCTATAGTACATGTAATAAACACTCGGTCTTTTTTTCTCATCAATCTTAGACAGCATCCAGTGAAACACTGTATGTTGCCAGGGGGAAAATTCATTGGAAAAGAAGGAAGAACATAGTTCCCTTCTCCCAACTCAGTAGGCTGGGTACCCTGAGGGCTACTGGTCTTACCGTTAAAGACTGTGGCATTAAGTACCTCTGCTTTTTCCTCATCACATGCTATAGATGGGCTTTTGGAGGCTGGTCACTGAACTAATTTTGAAATTAATTCAATTTTTTTTGTTTTTTTTCATGAAACACTAAGTCTTTATGATTTGCCACAATAATTTTCAATGGCTATTGAGCCCAAACTGTCCACAAGAAAAGTTTGGGAAGGGAGCTTTAGCTGTGAAAGCTGGTTTGTTGTGGTTTTGGTTTTTTTTTTCCTGAGAGCTACTTCTTGGTGTAGAAATGGTTCACTACCTGCTGTTAGCTGAGTCAGGAGAATTACAGAGTAAACTTGCCTCAATGAGTCAGAATTTCCTTCTTAGCTTAATTTCAGTGGCTTAGATAACTGTGTTCTTCCTTCTTTTCCCAGGAAAGTTCAGTTTGCATCCCCCCAGAATATTCACGTGAAAGAATATTAAAATGTCAAAGACAACTGAAAAATGGGTCAAAATGGAAAGAAAGTGATCTTTGTGGTTAAGTCTCCTTCCAGAAACAAGAGTATCACATCTCCTAAACAGTCACACCTAAGCAAGGAGAGGGAATGTCAGATTGTCCAAGACCTCAAACTTCTGAAGATGCAGGTTCAAATAGCAAGTGAAAGTCAAATTGGATCTTTAGCTCCTTTTTTCTTCCCAAGGGCAGTTACAGTATTTATTAGGTTTTGGCTTTCTTTAATCCATTGTTACTCTCCCAAATCAGCAGTTTCTTGCATAATCCTGCTGCCCCTCTAGTTATACTGGCCAAACTAATGTTTTTCAGCAGCTGCTGCTTTTTTGATTCTGCAGTTTGGTTTTCAAACAGTACCTAATTGAAAAATAATCTCTTGGCTTTCATTTCTATGAGTAACTTCCCAGTAATGAACAATGTAAGGTAAAAAAGCTGTACTTCAAGCAGTGTGGACCCAGAGTCACATGTGAAATAGAACAATTATGTCCTAAAGTTTGCAATTGAAGATTTTTTTCCTAACCTAAATTACTTGGAGTTCTACTATACAGTGCTGTAATGGCAACATAGCATTTTTCCTTAGTGCATTTTTTTTTGTATCCAAAAAAAAATGGATACAAAAAATTTCTCATTTTTATGGAGCTATGACTTTTGCCAGAAAGTAAAAGTCAAGCATTTCCTAGTGAAAATATGGTGACAGTTCTCTCTGTTTTTGCAGAGACATACCTATTCCAGGTATGGGATACTTCACTGATACTGTATTCCAAACAAAGAGAAATCCTGACTTAAGACATTTGTATCACTGCAGATTTACAGGTACACCCTATGGCTCATGCAAAATATTCTCAGGTGGAAGGAGAATCACAAGTATGTGATGGGAAAGCAAAGAAAATTTACACATGGGGAGCAATGGGGAGCATTTTTGGATTACCCTGAGCTCAGAGTAAGTCTGATTTTAATTTTGTTAATAATAAAGTGGGACATTTTTTGATACTTGTACAGTTGCAAATTCAGTTGGTTGTTAACTGATGCCAATTCAAACAATTATGAGAGGGATATTTAGCTTGTGAAATAATTCAGCCTGTAATGGACTGACTTGTTTCCACAGTTGGTGTGGACTGTTCCTCTTGCTTTTAGTGATCTACATTTTAGGAGACTGGTTTCTCTAATTTTTAATGTAAAAGGGCTTTTTACATTTTAAAATAGCCTCCTAGTAATGTTGGCTATTAATGTCTTAGCAGTTTTTTTGATGGACTGGGGTGGGGCTGTTTTGGTTTGCTGTTTGCATGTTTTTATGTATAGGAACCAGAAAAGGACTGATTTCAGCAGTGATGACTTCAAACCCGAAGTTTAGTGACCAGAATTTCATCCTGGACAAAATACTAATACTTGCTTTTCTCAATTTCTTTGAAAATCCAGTGTTAGAATTGTGCATACATAGAGTTGCAGTGTTACAAGGTTACTCCAGTCCCCTGTAGGAAAGAAGCTGCCACCCTAGGCTACAGCTGGGGAAAGGGTCAAGAACAGGCCTAGCTACAGCTTTGGATAGATTGGGGAACGTTGGAGAAGGACCTGCCTTCAGAGGATATTGCTATGAGGAAAAATATCGGGAAATTGCTACGTTGAAGAGCTGAAAGATGGTCAAGGCAGAGGAGGCTGCTGTTTACCTGCCATGATGAGAAAGGAAATATTACAGAATCACAGAACCATTTAGGTTGGAAAAGACCTCTGAGATTGAGCCAAACCTTTGACTGATCTCCACCTTGTAAACTAAACCACAGCACTAAGTACCACATCCAGTCATTTCTTCAACACTTCCAGGGATGGTGACACCTCCGCTTCCCTGGGCAGCCTGTTCCAATGTTCAACAACCCTTTCCACAAAGAAATTCCTCCTCATGTCCAGCCTAAACCTGCCCTGGCACAGCTTGAGGCTGTGCCCTCTTATCTTGTCACTAGTTGCCTGGGAGAAGACTTTACAGGAGAGTGATTCCTTTTGAGAGGACAGACAGGTCTGCCTCAACTGGCCTGACTCAGCACATTTGGAACAAAACATGACCAAGTGCAGAAAGAGGCATTTGTATTGCTTGCTCCAGATCACAGAATAAACAGAGGGAATGTGCAGCTGGCCTGGTAGCAGCAACAGAGCCTAAGCCTTTGCTCTTCATTTGGCACAAAGAGTCGCAGTGCCTGCATAGGAATTAAACATTTTCTTTTCACCAGACCTCTTTGCCACATTCAGAAACACCAGTGATATGATACTGCAGCTGATCTGAAAAGTGGACAGAACCTGTAAAGATTTTGCATTAAGAAAACAGCCAGTATGCTCCCAATCCATTACATACTGATTCTTTTTGCTTTATATCACCTTGATTATTCCCCCTCTAGTAATACAGAAAGCAGGATCCTGAGCTGAACAAATTCAAAGAGAAATGTCTTACTCAGGAATAAAAAACTGCAGATTAACCAAGATTGTATCACAAGCCAACTTAAAACATGTAAAGCAAAATCACCAAATGAAGAACTTTATGTCAGGTTCCTAAGATTTCTACCATGCTGACAGTTTATTATAGAAAAAGCCACAAATCTTGTTCTCAGAAATTCATTATGTAACATTTTACACAAAAATACAGGATGTTGTTACACAGCCAAGCATCTGGGGTGGTTTGCCCTGATTTAAGAAATAAAATCTCTAGGAAAAGCAGCTATTTACTAGAACTAGGATGAAGGCAGAACAAATGACCGGATTTGTGCAATTCGATCAATCTGAATGTTAGGAAGCATTATTTTACCATAAAACAAATCAAACAGAAATACTTACTTACCTTGATCCTAAGAGATGCTGAGTACAAAGCTACTAGTAATTTCCCACAAAAAAGCTCAGACCAGTATCTTTAGAGAGAGAGAGAGAGAGAGAGAGAGGACTAAAACATTACCTGAAACATTCAGGAATGTTTCCACAATACCAAAGAAAAGGAATTCAGGGAAGCCACACAGGAGTATGTCCTGAGAGATGTGCTGAATACTGGACAAAGGGGGAGTCAAAAACACATTGCAATGACAGCTGTGGGCAACAACAGACACAAGGCCAGGAGGAAGATACAGCCAAACCAAGAGCAGATTGAAAACACCAGAGATAAAAGATGTATTTTGTTTTATCCATGCTGATCCATACATATTAACGTATGGGCTCTCTTCCTTGGATGCAAAGCTATCCTCCCACTACCTACAGTCACTTCAATGCTCCATCAACACACAGTTAAATAATTTCTGCTAAAGCTCCATCTCAACACACAGTTAAATAATTTCTGCTAAAGCTTTTCCTGACAGTTTTCTTGCATTCAAATATACATGCTCATTCTTCCAACTTTGAAGCATCACCACTGCTTGCAGGAAGCCTGCTCCTTGCACTAAATAGAACTACTTAGCTGATTTATAGGGCATTTACTGTAACTGCTTTTGGGAACAAACACAGCAGTCTTTTTTTCTATTTCCTTTCCTCGGCAAAGAATCAGAACTGTCAGAAGTATCCATTAGCACAGTATTTCTCCAAGAATTCTGTCATACTGCTGTTATTACAGGAAAGACAAGAAAAGCAATCTCAGACAAGGACATATGACTTGGCAGACAAGTGAAAAAGAGATATTAGCCTAATATTCCAAGAAGAAACTTAGCTACTGCCAGCAAGCTGAGAACTACAGTTCATGTGCATCTGCTGTTTCCCTGGAACAGCATTTTGCAGAAGTGTGAAGTCAGACACTTTGCAATTCTAGCAAGCTAAGACATTAAAGAAAAAAACTCAGCACTCTGAATCCATATTAAAATAACCAAACAAACTTTAATATGTTTTTTTCCAAGATCTAATATACAAATACAATGGTAATAATGTACTCTTCTTTTGTAAGCTTGGATGAAATATATTGAAGTCCACTTTCCGCAAGTTATATAAATAATCATCTAAAGCAACCTAGAAAAGAAGAAAAAGGCTTAATACACATGGTGCACACAAGTAATTATTAGGCATTAAGTTTAAAAAGCAATACAAGAAACTGAATGAGAAAATGCAAAAAAGGCTCGACAGTTTGCCTTTGCTATTAAATGGTAGTGTAATCATCACATTCCAAGCATATAAAAAAGTCAAGTTTTGTGAAGAGAAGCATTATCTTTTAGTAGACCAAACACCAAATTATGAAAACAGACAGGATTTGGGGCTTTTGCATTAGAACAGCAGTCTACAAGTAAAGACATCTTGGGTGGAATGATGTAGTTAAAAGGGAAGGATTAGAACTGTTGATCAAAACTGTAAGGTTCTACAGTCAGGGACACATTATGATTTCTATGAGTTTTAAGTATTACATCCTCCCAAAATAAGATAGGTGAAGTGGCAGTTCCCCATGCTTAATTTGAATACTCTTCACAAATGCATCAGCACAGTTATAAGTCCATCACTCAAAGAGTGCATATATCACACCCACCGTACAGAAAAAAGCAGGATACGCCTTCACAGGAACTTTCTTACTGAAAGATCTAGCCTAAAAGTAAATGGGGTAAGGTGGAAGGGAAAAACAAAACACAAAAAAAAGTACTTATCAGAAGAATTTAACATTTCTGATTAAACATCAAGTACTATATATAATGCTTAGAGGCAACACACTGCATAACCAGCGTTACCCCTTTTTATTTTGACATCCTGAAACTGTAACATTTCATTCCATGAAAGCTGTGTACAAAAGTAGTTAAACGAAAGTATGTAATACTGGCAGAGGCTTGCAAAAATCCTTACATGATTTGACAGACCTCAAGACTGCATACTATAAACCAAGGTAAATTAGCATGCCTTGTTCCAACAAAGTCCCAAGATGCATCTTGTTTAGTAAATACAGTTTAACTTTTTTTTTTTCCCCCAATAGACAGATATGATGGAAGAACAGAAATGCATTTTTCTGAGTGCATCTTTTTGGTTCAATGTTGCCATCAGTCCCAGGAGTCCATCTGTAAATGCTTTGGTTATGTATCTGAGACATTGAAATGATCTCAGTTCCTCAGTATCCACATATAAAAATCTGAAGCATGGTTGTATCAAATCTGCAGTTTAAACTCATATTCAAGTACATCTAACAGAGCTGAACAAGTCTTCCTGTAATGCCTGTCTATAAAAACAAAATCCCTTCTTGTTTTGCCTTTTCTTACAGGTTAAAACAAACTAACTCTCTATAAATACTGATAAGAATGTGTGAGTTTGTAAAGTTTAGTTTTTCATGGACCTTTCCAGACAACTGAGAAAATGAGCCTGAAACTTTAGGAGGAAAAAATTATCAATCTTTTCAGAAGACAAATTATTTTAAAATTTTGAGCTATAATAACACCCGTGTGTGTGTATATGTATTTCTAAAATAGAAAAATGTTTTTCCCTGATCTAATGCTCTGCCCTTCTATTATTAATTGCAAGATGAAAAAATAAAGTAGTCTTGTTTGACCTTCTCAACCCAGAATGGGTCACATGTAATTCAGAAAGCATTTTATCTCCCGTGATAAACTGAGTCCCATAATGATGTAGGACAACAGAGACAAATGCAGAAAGCCAAAAGGGAGACCCTTTTTCACCAGAGGAATTGGGGAAGGGGTGCTGAAGAGAAAGAGGGAGAAGAATGTGTAAATGTATTTGTAGGCTTTCAAGGGGAACACTTTGGGGGACTGACAGAGCATTTCCTTATATGCTTTTATGCTGATAAAACACACAATTCCTAAGGAAAACTGCAATCTTCATTATCATATTTTGCCACCTGCTGGTCTGCAGCTGCAGTGTCAGAAGACCTGAACATACTCCAGAAAGTTTTTTCTCAAGATTAAGGGCCACGCTACTACAATATGCTTCATGTAACATGGCTGAGACTCCATTCAGCATTTCAGATTTAGGTGTCTTCTGGCTGTGAAACAGGGGTGGTAATTGCTACTCTCATCCTCTAAAATACATGGTTTGTGTAACAAATGCTGAGATAGCTGAAACCTCTCTGCAGGTTTGAACATTACCATACCCTGTAATCCCAACTAAAACTAAGGATAAGTGGCTGTGAAGACCCTCAGGCAAAACAAAATGGTGATTTTATACAGCAGAACAGATGCATTTAAAGGCACCAACCCATTAGATTTACCTAAGGTCCTGAAATACCCAGCAAATGCTGCTAGCAAAAGCCCATTTCATCCATTAGGCAGAAAGTATCCTTGTCCTTGCATTAACAGAGACCATGTGATTATGAAGGAGGCCAATATTCTGTAACTGCTGCCAGCTATGGCCAGTTCAAGTGGTTTGAACACTCTACAGTTCCTGCACTGTCAACAATTCACTGAGGATGGGAAACTAGAAAAAAATATTCAGAGAGGAATTTTTAAAAATTTTTAAAAAGATTTAATTAAGGTGATATAATTCACCCATTAAAAAACATACAAAGGGGAAAGATAATGGGAGGAGTGCCAGGATGAACATTCAGTTGAATAAAATGCTAATGCTGCCCTAATCTAGTTTCTTTGTATTTGTACTTTTCTCTTTAGTCTCCAATTACATGATCACACTGCATACTTTCCACAGGACTCTCCCAGTGCATAACATGGGCAGGGCTCTAGGAATGAAGTGGGAAGAAAGGAGGCCTGTTCTCTTCAGAAGTTGGTAGGTTCATGTTGGGAACTAGGGAGCCAATGCACTATGAATTATCAAATTACCTGAAAGGTTCTGAAGAACCAAATTCTTTTTCTGCTTCTATCCCAAAGTTTTCATACAATACCAGCAACCAAATTTAAATATGTGGACCACAAATACACATTACTTATTTTCCATGTCGTCCATCCTTGATATGAGGCATTTCAGGCCATGCATTTGGCATTTTTCTTAGCCAAAAGGCAACGGGTTTTATGCATTGTACATTATGAGTTGAAGGGTGGAGAACAAAAAAAAAATCAAAATATTTCAGCTTGAACAAAGATAATTGACAGTTTTGATGTTGTACCTTGTCTCTGTTCCCTGCTTCTAAATGGAATCAACAGTTTTCTTGGACACGTGACCACAAAAACAGAGACATCAGGTTAAACAACATGAACAGGAATGCCTTAAATGTGAATTATAATTAGTCAATGAAAAATAAAGCCAAAGGGTACAAAGAATCATAGAATGCTTTGGGTTGGAAGGGATCATCTGGTTCCAACCTCCTGCCATGGGCAGGGACACTTCCCACTAGACCAGGCTGCTCAAATCTCCATCCAACCTGCCCTTGGATACTTCCAGGGATGGAGCATCCACAGTTTCTCTGGGCAATCTGTGCCAGTGTCCCATCAACCCCACAGTAAAGAATTTTTTCCGAGCATCTATTCTAAATCTGCTGTTGTTCAGTTTAAAGCCATCTCCCCTTATCCTTAATGCCCTTGTAAAAAGTCCCTCTCTGGCTTTCTTGTAGGCTCACTTTAGGTACTGGAGGGCTGTTATAACATATACACATTCTTAACATAAAACAAAAACATTTATCAGCTCAGTAGGCACTGACTGAACAAACCAGGGATGCCAAATTTGACTTTCAGAAAAAAGATGAAGGGCTCTCCTATTTCAATTACATAAGATACTGTGATCACAGGTAATGCTGTAATTGAGGATTATATTAATGGTGCAAATGCAGAGATAAATCTGGCATTTCTTTACTCTGAAGTGTTATCTTTCCAGACTACCTTGACTGGAACCATTGGGTGCAATACCTAAAGTGTACATGTACTTGTAGACATAAGAAAGTCTTTGTAGGGCTTTGGTTTCCAGCTAGAGAAGACAAAGCATTGCCAATAAAACATTCTTCTGCTTTTGTACTGTGCATTAGGCAAGCATCTCATAATACAGCTAGAATAAAAGCATGAAAGAACAAATAGAGTAGGACTCTGCAGTTCTTCAGGGCCCATCATCCACTGTTCCAACCAAACAGACTTCATAATTGCCTTGGCTGCATGCCAGAAAAGAAATAAACAGAAAGCACCTTTCTCAACATAGCTTTGGGCATGGCTGGTCATGTCAGGGAATGAATCCCCCCTCCCACACACACGAACCAGCAGTTAAAGACAACATGCTCTGTTTTCCTGGCAGCCATTCCACAGTGAAATCCATATGCAGATGTTCTTTCTATGGTGCTCATCCCATGCTGGCATATAGCTGCATTTATAAAAGTCTGCTTAGTTTCTCTTCCAGTAATAATTCTTTTAGGCAGCATTTATATATATGAAATTGGACCTGGCTGTGAGTACACTGTCTCCTGTACATAAAGATAATATTCATACAGAAGTAGTTGTAATGTTTGAATCTTTAATGTGGTAGGATTTTTTTAATGTAAACTCTCAAAATAAAAAAGGGCAAAATATTTGAAATTAAGTATGCAGCTTTAAGTCTTCTAACAACAAATGCTTTGTGAAGACTAGCATCAGTTATGTTTATTTAGATAAATAAAAGGAAAGGAATCTCACATGTTCTAGATGAATATGGGCCTGGCTGGCGATGTCATAAATTACATCTCTCACATTTTTCTCTTGCTTGCCTCTTATGAAATCCTCTTGTGAAACTCCATGCTAGACATAGGAAGGAAAACCAAAATCAAAAAAGAAAAAACCCTCTAAAAATATCAAGTTTCCATTTTTGCTTCTCAAAAACCTGTCCCAGCAATGAAGCTAAAGACTAAAGACCAAAACAGCCTAAGTGTTCTACCACTGCTCTCTCATTTTTTGATTCCCTTTCTTTTGGTCAGTCACTTGAAAAAAAATCAAGAAAACAAAGAGAACAGTTGGTACAGACTCTCTGCACAAGTTTGTTTCCTAAAATTTTGTGGTCAGTAAGATAACAAAGTCAGATTTCAAAGTTTGGAGGATTTAGATCAGTTTAGATACCAAATTTTTATAACCATAATCCAAGAATCAGTATTCAGCAGAAGAAAGCCAGTAACAGCTACCACAGAAGCCATGCCAGCTTTTGAGTCTTGGGATTGGTGTGAACATCCCAGGCTCACAAAAAACCAACAACCAACAAACCAACCAACAAAACATCAAACAAAGCATCTCCAAAAACCAACCAACCCCAGAACCACCAGAAAAGAGCCACAAAGCCAACTCCAAACTTATTCTCTGACTATAGTGACCAATGTTAAGACAGGATATGGCATATGCAGAATGGCACCAGTTGCCCACTCCTCTCAACCACACTGAGGCATGTGAGAGCTGCATGAAGGTGGGCAGAAAGGATTCCCAGGAGGTACAGACTCAGGAGAACTCCACAGTTCTTGCCAGCAGCTGAAATGCTTACAAGATTGTCTGCACAGAAGGGATACAAGCTGTTTTTACAGTTTTTACAGTTTTTTACTGCAGAATACCTTCCATGGCAAGGAATGACCGAATTTTCAGGCTGTGTTTGAAAAGCTGAAAACTTGGAAGGCCTCCCATAACATGCAGTCCCAGAAGGGCTGAAAGGAGAGGGCAATTCCTTTCTGTGGTCTTATAACCCTGACCTATATTAGTATCCTTAGTATCTGACCTATATTAGTACCTTAAAATCATTTCATCATTTTTTGCAGCTACCTACATTACTAGACTTCCAATCCAAATTTTTAACTGTATTAAAATTATATTCAGAAAATACTAACACAACCACCTTAGGCATCACCAGAATTGTGTAAATTTTGGTTAAGTTGAAAAAGAACAGCATTAGCATTTAAAAATAAAGACTGGAAATGAAGGACTAATAGCTGAGATGCCTACAGATTAAACCATGGAACATTAATGAAAAATTCTGAGCTTTAATCTCATTTTACCTAAACTGAAAGATCTGCTAAATTCCAGTGCAAATCTGATGTACAGTTTAAATTGGAGGGCTATACCATCTCCTAGAAATGTATGGAATATAGGCCTATAACTGTAAAATGTGGAACAGGAAAAAACCCATACCCAACTCCAAAACACAAACTCCCAGGACCCATTCTGTACATGCATTTTTATACATTATTGGAAAAAAATCCTTTAACCTAAAATATTAAAACATTTAATAATAACAAACAAACCCCTAAGGGAAATCTAGAATTTCTTGAAGTTTCTTGAAGATCACTCCTCTCACTTCCCAAAAGATATAAAGCTGTGACAATTAGCAGGACACAGCAGAATGAGTAAAAATAAAGAAAAAACATACCATTTATTTCTGGCATAATAAATTATGATCTCATACCTAGCCTTGAGAAACAGAGACAGAAAAACTACACTGTTCAATTCCAGACTATTTGCTTCTCTTACCAACATACAAATGTCCATGGGAAGAAAGACCTTTTGTCTTGTACAGTGATAAGGAGTTGCTCTTAAACAGGTAACTATGCCTTGTGCTTTCCCAATGTGACTGGCTGCATGGTCAGCATGGATGTCCCTCACACCTAAAATTGCAGAAACAATATGTTTAGAAACATGCACTCAGGCCTGTTGAGGGGTATGGTCTTCTCTGATGTGTATCACAGTGATGCTTTAGGAAAGCTACATTCATTGGTCCATGATAGAACTGTTCATGTGCATAAACTGCCTTGAGATCTCAACTCAGAGGTGCAAAACAGCAGGAAAATTCATTCATTTTCACATTCAGGAGCAAGATGCCTCTTGTTGCAGTATCTGCAAAGGGTGTACTTAGCAGAGCAGCACCTATTCAGATATAACACACTGGTACACAAACTCACTTTCATTGGCATATCCTCTCCCAGGATAACAGTATTCCAAGAACTGCTTTTCCTGCCAGAAAAAGTCATTCAAGTGTGAGATTTCTGACAAGCATTAATGCTTTCAGTGTGGTTTCATGATTAGCTGCAGCTGATTCATCAGTGTAGTGAAGTCAAAGAGCAATGATCCTATGCTTCATCCCCCAAACCCGTATCTCTGCCCCTTCCCCTGTGCTGTCAGGAGCAATGAGGCAAACTGAATCAGATCAACAAAACAACAGAAAACTAATGTTAGTTACTGCACAGTCACATAAACTGTGAGAACTGAAACAGGAAGGTGAGTGGGGCAGAGCAGCACCATTGCTCTTCATGGCAAGATCATACAAGCTTGGCTTAGACTGATTATAAAACTGAGCTGGGATAAAATGAAAATTTGAATTAAAATTTATAAAAACTCTTAACAGAAGCAGCATTCTACAAAGAAAGCAATGAGGATACAGCAATTACAGATCAATGAGCCTAACTGACATCTGGAAATAACACTGGGGGTTCCAGATTCACTGCAGAAGCCTGTCTGGGTCTTCAGTGGGTCTCAGAATCCTCTGTGAAAGAGTGACTATACCCACACTACAGGGACTGATTTTAGCAATGGCAGCAGAAAGCAAAGTGTGGCTTGGAGGAATCAATGGATATTATTTACTAACTACTTAAGTAATTAGTTAGAGAGCACAAATATTAGTATTTTTAAATTACAGGAGTTGAGAGGAAGTACCAGGACTTCTGATGACAGGATTACCAGCCAAAATAAGCTTGACAAAAGAAATAACCTGAAATCAGCAAGAATATAACAGCACTAGTACTGGGAGAGTACACACTGGGAGAGATGCAACAGGAGACTGGTCAGGAATAAGGAGTCTAAAAAGCACAAGAAATTTAGCAAACATGACCTGAATGAAACCAGGTCCACCTAGTCTAGAAAATACTGCTGATGGGCAACCAAGAAAGGGGCTATATTTGATTAGTTTCTCAGTTTGTGGGGAAAATTGACAAAAGTTAACTGTTTAATATGCAATGGAGGAGACTTTTGCTTAGGTATTTTGTTACATTTGTATATTTAAGAGACGTTAAATATGACAATAGAAGACTTAAAATATCCAGACTCTCCATACAGATTTTCAAAAACAGTTTTATCTGATTTGTATAAGGAGTGAGTGATCCAAGCATGACTGAACTTATTCAGGATTTCTCAGAATGGAAGACACTGGCATTTCTCATGGTCCTACATTTCTTCAATAAAAGATTCAGAAAGATATTTGCAACATTTCACTGACTTCCTACTGAGGAAGCAAACATCAGATGTTAAGAAATAAGTTCCTCAATTCTTTCAAAGAAGAATGTACTCACCATCTCTCTTTTTACTTCTCCTTTTTCTATTTTTTTTTAACTTTTAACATCAGTATTTGCCTTTCATCAGATTAGTCTGACAAGCAAGAGGAAAATACTGCTACTACAATACTAAACACTAAATAATAATAATAACAATATTAATAATATTAATAATAACTTGGGGTTTTTTTCACCTTTTTTTTACATCCAAGCTCATACTGCAGATACTTCCATAATGCAAGAGATACCTAAATGAAAATTACCCTTTTCTTCACTACAAATGAATAGTTCTTTCCCAATCTGTGGTTCTTACATTAGACATGACACAGACCGTAGCTCTTGATCACAGGGATCATTTTGTTGCATTTTTTTCTAGCTCTTCAATTATTGATAGTTAACCTACTTCTAGGAAGAGGGGAGGATTCAGACCCAAATTTACAACATCACCAAAGGAAGTTTATAGGTTGGGAAGTTGGCTGTTTCAAGACAATCAGTGTCCATCACTGCAACACAGAACAACAGCTGCAGGGTACCTAAAGCACTTTGTATTCTGACAAGTAGGATAGTTGAAATACAGTGAAGAGCTGAATTTTCCACATGCTGTAGGAGGAGCAAGAACAGAGAAAACCAAGCAACAAAGAACAGCAGGAAACTGCACTTCAATGAGCTCTGCACTGAGCAGCTTCCAAGGAAAGTAGAGTTCTAGGACAGCTGCAGTACAATTCCACATTTATAGTTCAGCATTCAAAAGATATCTGAAATTCTACCTAGGACAGCTTTTATTGAAATTAAACTCCAGTAGGAAAAGAAAAGGCTTTTTGAAATATCAGTAAATATTGTACTTGCACTAATGAGTCGTCAGCAAAACCTAGAAAGGGGAAAACACCTACCCAGTGTTTCCAAGGTGAGGTACAAGAGAGCACTCTGAGTGTTCTCAGCGTATGTTTCCAGCTCCTGGATGTTACGGTATGGCCGATCATCCAAATTCTTTTCCTGGAACATAAACACGGAGCTTCAGTAGAATGCAAACATAACTGCTGTTTGTACAGGCTTATTACTACAGCCATGTCAATCCAATGCACCACCAAAAACAAAAAAGGACAAAATTGAGAGACTGAGAGAGAGTATAAAGTCAGATAGGAGCACTCATTAAAGCTTATAGCAAGCCTAACAAATAACTATGCTCAACTGCAGTCAAGGAGCAAATACAACTTTCTGCAATATGAAATCAGAATTCTCCATAAAAAAGGAAACAGCAAAACCAAAACATCATATGGTATTCTTACATTATAGGGTTGTCAATATTTAATTTGCATCTGAAGCAGAGAGAAATTTAGATAAACAGGACTGTATTTTTAAAAACATAAAATAAATCTATGAAATGCACAGAAGTGTTAAAGTCATGTAAAAACCCATAGATTCATAGAATCATAGAGTGGTTTGGGTTAGAAGGGACTTTAAATATCATGTAGCTCAAAGTTCTCTGCCATGGACATGGAAACCTTCTACCAGACCAGGTTGCTCAGAGGTCCACCCAACCCCTGAACACCTCATAAAGAGCCCACAACCTCTTTGGGCAACCTGTTCCAGTGTCTCACCATCCCCACAGTAAACAACCTCTTTCTCAGATCTAATCTAAACCTACCCTTCTTCATCTCAAGGCCATTCTCTCTTGTCCTATCACTACATTCCCTTATCAAAAGTCCCTCTCCAGTTCTTGTAAGCCCCTTCCAGGTACTGGAAGGCGCTTTAAGGTCTCCCTAGAGCCTTCTCTTCCCCAGAATCAACAGCCCCCAATCTCTCAGCCTAGACACAGGAGAAGTGTTCCAGCCCTCTGAACAACTTAGTGGTGCTAACAAATAATACATCCAAAATAATAAAATACACCCAAAACTGTAACATCCTCCAGCATTCCTCCTGTCCTAGCGGTTTCTATCTTAAAATATACCACTCTAAAGACTAAAAAAGTCTTAACATTAAGAAAGTCTGAAGTCTTTCATAGCAATGACCCTCTGCAAGTAACTGACCATCAACTTGCTCAATTTACAGCTTCATGAGACACTTACTTTAGCAGCAAAATTAGCTTAGGAGATTCCTGCACTCTGCTTTTCATTCTTGTCCTTGTGTCAGAGTTTGTAGCAACATCACTGTACCAGTGATGTTCTTAACCTTGTTTTTCCCAAGAAAAAAGGTGGCTATTTTAAACTTCATGTGATTTGAATGCTCCAGTTTACACCACTGCTTAGAAAAAACTCCACAGCCATGATAAGGAGTAGCATGAAAGTGTGGCAAAAGGGTTCAGATAGGTCATTTAAATTTTGAGATTTTATATCCACATGAATTCACAAACTACATCAATTTAAGACAAAAAATAAACAAATTATTCTATTAGCCATTTTTGCAGAAAGAACAGAAACTATGAAGAGTAGCATCAAGAGAGAATTTTTTAAAATGTAGCAGTATAATTTTTAAAGAGAAATACTACTGTCTGGAAAATTACATAAGTTTTTTTTTTTACACGCAAACCTATAAAAATAAGGAAAAGAAAACCCAAATATGACTAAAGCCAGAATCAGTCTCTGAAGGGTAAATACTTACTCTTTCATCTATGATCTTCATGAACCACATTTTAGTCAAGTTATGCCTCTTGACAGCCTGAAAATTATAAAATAAAACCTCCTAGTCAATGTATACAAAGTGATGGTAGTAGTGCATTCTGAAGGCTGAAATACATTTTAGGTATTTAATACAAGAATTGTATTCACTGGGTTAAATCAAAGTGGCAAGTCAGTGGAAAATGAGAATCTTCTTCAAATACAAAAATTTTCAACTGGCATTTACAACAAGTTGCTGCACACAGAAAATGAAATACCAGACATCATGCCAGCAAACTAAAAGCATTTCTTTAAAAATGTTTATGAAATTAATTTATTCTTGGAGTCATATGTTCCCACAAAATATTTGCAGATAACTATGTTCACTTTCCAAAAAGAACAGAGTTTCCTCCAGAGTCCAGCAATAAAAATATTTCCCCTGTAAATTCTCAAGAAAGTGTCAGCACAACATACCAACATGTACTGTAAAGACAGAATGCTAACAAAACAATGCAATTAATATGGGATTGTTTAAAGAAATAATGCACAGCATCTATATTCACACATTCTTCTTTTTGTTCTTGTCTTATATTTGACTTCCTTCCTGTGCCATTTCATTCTATCAACTTACCTTCAATCCTCTTAATTCCACACTTTGAATTTTTCAGAACACATTTTCAGAAAGGCTACAATCACATGTGAAAACATCTATAAACAAAATTTAGGGAGCAGATTTCTCATGGTTTAGTCCTCATTGCTCACTTTCAACTTCTTTACATCCATCATATTAGTAAATATTTTTCAAGGTTTTACAAGACCAGATCTTCTAGATTCTATATATTCTGCTTGAGACAGTACTTGGTATATCAAAAGGAAAATTTTAAGTTATAACTATAAATATTGTTTTTTAGTCTCACTTGTTCACCTCACATATCATTTTGTAAATGAAATCCTTGGAATACTAACAGGTCAAGACTTAAAGGACCAATTACCTAATTTGTACATTACATCCATTACTTCATTCAAACACATGGGCCCTCATTTCTCAGAAGTTTGAAAAATTGGCTTCTTCCACAGAAATGAACAGAGAATTAAGTCTCACTTTTCATATGTTCAAAATAGACAGAAAAGATCACGCATCATACAGTTGCTGTGTAAGTTTATATTAAAGTCACCAAGAGGTGAGCTATTAATAATTCTAGAAATACTATTAAAGGCTACTTGTCTACTTTACTAGTGTATAAAAATTTGGAACCTACATGCAAGTATTCTAGGATATACAAAACTTCAGGAACATGTTTAAGCATCATAACTTAAATTTATTCTGGAAAATCACATTGTCCTCATATAAACTCAACAGCAACAAAGGAATATACATAGAATATGCTGTGCAAAGACATGTTAATTCTATTAACAGCTCTGCAATACTTCTGAGTTCAGGTGTCTTTCCAAATCCTTTTTTCTAAGAATTGCAATGACATTCTTGCATATTCGTGAAGTCATGGGCTTCAAACAAGTCATCTTGGGGTATTTGCTGAAATAAGGAAATAAAATCCCATCTTGACTGCAAAAGTTACCAAGTCACATTGAATTGTTAGTTCACTCCAGTGCTCTGCAGTGCTTAGAGCTATCAGAGCTCCTAAAAATACTTTCTGAATAATTTTTCATCATCTTATTTTCATCATCTTATTCCAAGCAGTTTTGTTTGGAATGTATTATATTGGTCTTCCTTTATAGGAATCATACCTCAGGTGAAATCTCACCAAAGACCATTCTTCTTCCACTTCTAAACCAATTTTCTGTTTTGTGAGGAGGGAGTATGTCTGGCAGTCTTAGCAACTGGAGAGGGTTGCAATTGGTAAAACAGAATCAGAGTAACTTCTATCTGAATACTGTACTGGTTTAGGCTGGGATAGAGTTAATTTTCTTCACAGCACTTCTATGGCGCTGTGTTCTGGATCTGTGCTGGAAACAGTGTTGTCGGTTAGAGCAGATGCCGCACAGCACACACAAAACACTGACATTACTTCCTACAGTAATATTAAAGCAGATTTTAGGATAAGAAAGGTGTATTTTACCCTCCACAGCTCTGTAGCAACGGGCTGATGTGGTGGGTTATTGCTGTATATGTCCTCCACAGCATCCCTCCAGAACTGCATCCGCATCAAACCTGTCGTCTTCTGAGTTATGGAGTCTTTAATCTGGAAAGGATACATCTGGAGTGAAATTCAGTGTCTCTAACACACTTGGTCTATCTATGCTGAAAAGACAGACACAGGACACAGTCAAACTCAGCAGAGAAAGAGCTCAGTTCTGAATTGACATTTATTCCTCCTAAAGCTTAGGAACACTGCACAGAGTAAATGCGAAATCTTCACCATAACCTGATTTAAAACCCACAGAGATTAAGTGCTGGGTAACCCTCACTTTAGCTTTCCTCCCTAAAGGAATAAATGCAGTGGTGACAGCAGCAAGGGAGGGCACACCATGGGTTGCCAGAAGCACAGCCTACAGAAGCTGGTCAGGGATTTTGCCTGGTCAGCTCATTTCCTGGATCACTCCCTTCTGGCAAGCACTGCCAGCCTTCCTGGTTGCACTGGCAGTTTCTGGGCACCTTGCAAATCAGGAGACTGCAGCTACTCCTCTCCCACAACTCTCTAACTACAAACTTCCCTCCTGCAGCCTTTTCATCACCTTGCTTCTGCCAACAAAGGCTTGGTCCTGATTATAGCATCCCATTTTTTGAGCAACCTTTTACAGCTAGGATTTAGCTGCACTTTACCCATTAACTGCACATGAAGCTAGGATTTAGATGCAATCACATAACAGTATCAAGAACCCCTGCCTGTTTGCTATAACTTGATTTTAAAATGCATAAAGGTCATTAAAATTATACACATAAACAAAGTAATAGGGCAGGCTGGGTAATTTCCATGGGCCATTCAAAACTGGAGGTTTGTACTGCACTATTTATTCATGACCCTTGACTGTATAAAAGTTAACCTTGGCAAAACACCACTGACTACAGAAAGAGTACTTACAAGTGTAACTTAGAGTATCAAAATTCTTATTTTGAATTTCCAGATTTCACAAATGTATTTTAATACCTGCCTGAGCCAGTTCCACATTGAAGGCTCTCAAGGCAAAAGCAGAGGTTCGAGATTCCACAGGCAGCAGCAGAGAACACAGAAACCCTTCATAGTCACGCTTCCTATAAAAGAATCAAAATGCACATTTGTTATTTATAGCTCTAAGTCAACTGGATGTGCTATTCCTTAGCACTGAACTCCTGAAAGAGTCGCAGTAAGTTATAGCTCAAAACTCTGACTTTGCAAAAGTAGCAGCTTTTAGGCTTGTTTTAAAGTAAGACCAACTCCAAGAGAGAGTGCAGGCAGCTTGAACTCTCAGTGCACCTCTGAATTCCACATCTCAAGATATCTGGCTAAAGGCATGGAGCAAGGCTGTGGCAGAACTGCAAATAGAATCCAGATTGTCCGACTTGCAGATTTCTGTTCCAAACACGAAACCACATTTCTTTAAAAGACTGTTCTTTGGAGCTTGGCAGAAGAGTGCTTGCTTAACCATTAAGTTTTTGTTTACTGGCAACTATATTCAAAGCATAAAACCTCAGGGAGTTGGCAGTTTTGCTGCAGGTAACTCCTTGCCAACCCAGAGTGATGTGCCTTCGTTTGGCCACGTGGGTGTGCCACAAAATTAAAAACACAGTGCTCAGAACCGTGAACTGCAAAATCACTCCAGCTAACAAAAACACCTGACCACCTCTGAAAAGCTAAACTGCTTGTTTTGAACAACATTTTTGTGTACTTTCTGATAAGCCTGAAACCTGATTCTTCCTTAGAACAAGATGAACTCCCAAGTTTGGCCTGAAGGGTGGAGAAGCAGGTTGTCAAGGAAAACACATGCGCTCATTTTCATTAAGTTTGCTGTTCTTGCATGTACTCATATTTCTTTTGAATATGATCTTAAAATAGAAAGCCAAACTAAACCCAAGGATTATTAGGGTTGCTACTTTTAGCATCAAACAAAAAGGAAGTGAAGTTTAACAGATGCTTAACCCTACAATACACAGCAGCTGAAAACTAGCAAATGCTTTTTTCCACAACTCTTGTCAGACTCTTTTAGACCTCGATGCAAATACAGAAATATCAACCAAAAATATTTACATTTTTGAGCTGTAGTAGGCTTTAAAGGACACCATATTACAGAACAGATACGTTAAATCTCCCTCAGTTAGGATACTTTTTGAAAAATATTATCAGCTCAAAGCCTAGTATTTTTTTCAAGACTTATTGTAGAAATACCAGTATTGTCCACCCTAGATGGAGCTGCATGGTTTATAGCCATATTTTCCCAGTTCCAGTCTGTCTGTGTTGTTCACACAACACAGAACCACCTCTACTTTCAAAAAGGAAACAAAGAAATATGTTACACAAAGTACAGAGCAACACATTAGAGATAATTGTCTTCCTTCTGGTAATGCTGTTGATATGGTGGGGTTTTGGTTGCTTTTTTTTTTCAATTATTCCAAGCTCAAAAATTTAGTGCATCAAATCCATTAAGCCCCAGTAAAATAAAATTGATAATGCTGTAGATCACGTTCCACCCCAACCTTCTTCATGTATGAGTGTAAGGAATGTAGAAAGGAAGGAACGACCCTAAGTCAGGTATTGAATTTTTTGATAAATAAGTTGAGGTTTTTCAAATAAGTATAAGCTTATATATGAACCCACAGCCACAAGAAAAACTAGTATTGGTCATAACTGGACTTTCTATATAATGAATGTGTAATAAAGCTATCGATCCACAAGCTTGTCTTTGAGACCAGGGATCCCTGACAGTAAGAGACATAAAACACATCTATAAGGAAAACATTTTTTTAGTCAAATAGCTTGAAGTGAATTTAGTTGTTTAAAGAAAAAGGAGGACCAAAGAGAAAGGGCATCTTCCATATTCCAAAAACAAATATACATTATTAAAGCACAACTCAGTTGTACTTCCTCATGTGTTGGAGACTCAAATTCAGAACTAGGGCGTTGCTGACACTTGCATAGCCCCAAGTGTTTTATTACTGTTTGAATAATCCCTTCCACTTATTTTTTATAGTTATTATTTCCATGCAATAGTTGAACTACTGGGAACAGCAGCTTCAATTAAATAATGCCAAAAGCATAACCACTTTTCATTTTACTATTTTGAATGCTTGTGTATTTTTCTAATTAGTCCTTTTATCACTTAACAAAAATACATATAAAAAAGTTTTAATTCAACCATCTCATTGGAACCTAACTATTCTGTTCATAATTGCTTGTTACTGGAAACATTTCACCTGCAGAGTTTAACTTTACCTGTATATTGGCTGTACACACAGCCTCTGGTCTCCTGAGTATCAGGGAAATGAATCCTGGGTAGAATAACGAGGAAAAGAAAGCTGTATTCTGAAAATCATGAAAAATGCAATGTGGCTGTGCATTCTGGTACATCTGTACAGGTCAGCTTCTGGCTGCTGCAGTGAACATTTAAGATTGTCCCATTTCTTTCCCTTAGTTTTCCTACCTCAAACATTACTGCAGACCACACACATCTTTCTGTCTTTTTACAAGCACCAGTTTGGAGAAGATAATCCTGTTCCACTCTTTCTATGCACACATGGAAACCTTCTCCCAGCTTTTGTCAATCATCTGGAAAAACAGTATCCAAAGAGAAGTTACCTAGGTCTTTACTGAGAAACTTGGTTAACATCTTACTTTACAAAGAACTGAATTCCTGGCAACTCCAAAGCAGCCAAGGGGCCCTACACATTGTTTACAGCCCAGAATCCAAGAAGGAAAAGTGACCTGACCTGGAAGTATCTGACTGCACTCTGCTCCTCTTGGAGCATTTTGGGTTTGACAAAAAAAAAAAAAGGATGTTTTGGAAACATAGGCCTCCTCTTGCGTTTACGACAGAGAAGGTACAGAGAAGGTACTGAGCTGTTCCAGCGGTCAGATGTCCTCTGCTTTATCCCGTTTTTCCAGGGAGCGCTCAGCAAGCATGGCTATTTCTCAGTAGCCAAGATTTGAAAACTGCCAATGTTTTTAAACACCCACTTCGGTGATTTCGCTCTCCAGAACACCGATACAAGGGAACAAGAACGTTCCGTTCTTCTGAAGAAACGCAGCCACAGAGGGGGAGGGTACTGCCGTGGGAGGCTGCCCAGGACGGTGGGGGAGCGGCCCTCTCTGGACACATTCAACACCCACCTGGACACGTTCCCGTGTAACCTGCTCTAGGTGACCCTGCCTGCGCGGGGGTTGGACTGGGTATCTCCGAAGGTCCCTTCCAACACAGACCAATCAGTGATTCTGTGTGCAGACTGAATCATCCACGCGGCCTAAAAATGCGCTGGGTTTCAATGCTCCCGACACGGCGCGGTCCCGCTGCCCACCGCCACCGGCCACACGGGCTATTTTCGGGGCCCGGAGAGCCCGAGGGCGGCCTGGGCAATCCCAGCCATCCTTTCCGGGAAGTCGTCAGGGTTCCCGTCGGCTGGGAAGCGCTGCCGAGCCTTCCCAGGCCGGACTCACCGCCCCGCTCTGCGGAGCGCGCACCCCCGCGCCTGCAGCCCCCCGCGGTGGGCACTCACCGCACCAGCTCGGCGCAGTACTGCACCGCTCCTCCGGCCGCCGGGCCGCTCCAGCCCGCCGCCGCCGCCCTCCCGCCGAGCGCCGGCGGCCGCGCAAGGCGGCGGCCGATCCCACCACGCCGCAGCGCTGCCCGCGCCATGCTGCCCGCCATGCTGCCCGCCATGGCCCCGGCCCCGCCCCGCGCCGCGCCGCGCACGGGCCGCCGGCAGGGGGCGCACGGGGGCCGGCAGGGGACGCACGGGGGCCGGCGGCAGGGGACGCACGGGGGCCGGCGGGGGGCGCACGGGGGCCGCCGGCAGGGGGCGCACGGGGGCCAGCGGGGGGCGCACGGGGGCCGGCAGGGGGCGCACGGGGGCCGGCGGGGGGCGCCCTTGGCCGGGACGCTGTGGGGGCGCGCGGCGCTGTTTGCGCTGCGAATGGCGCCCGGCACAGGCCGGCAGCGCCTCAGCGTCCAGCGCCTCCCGAGCCGAATCCCTCCGCTCCTCCGCCACCGTGGCTGCAATAGGCCCAGCGGAAAAGGACATCGGGGTGTTAATCGGCAGCTGGCTGAACATGAGCCAGCGTGTGTCCAGGTGGCCAAGAAGGCCAATGGTATCCTGGCATCCATCAGCCTTGGTGTGGCCAGCAGGACCAGGGCAGTGAGAGTATTCGGCACTGGTGAGGCCGCACCTCAAGAGCTGTGTCCAGTTCTGGGCCCCTCACTACAAGAAGGACATTGAGGTGCTGGAGCATGTCCAGAGAAGGGCAGCAGGGCTGGTGAAGGGGCTGGAGTGCAAGTCTGATGAGGAGCAGCTGAGCGAACTGAAGGTGTTTAGCCTGAAGTAAAAACTCGGGGGGACCTTAATGCTCTATGCAAGTGCCTGAGAGGAGGTTGTAGCCAGGTGGGGCTGGCCTCCCAGGTGACAAGTGACACAACAAGAGGAAGTTGGCATAAGCTGTGAGAGAGGACTTTTAGGTTGCACATTAGGAATAATTTCTTCACAGAAAGAATGATTAGACATTGAAATGGGATGCCCAGAGAAGTGGTTGAGTCACTGTCCATGGAGATATTTAAGGAAAGACTGGACATGGCACTTAGTGCCTTGATCTAGTTGATGTGGTGTTTGGTCAGATTGGGCTCGATGATCTCAGGGGTTTTTCACACCTAATTTATTCTGTGATTAAGTTTTTAAACCTGGTGCCCAAAAAAGTCAAGGAAGCTGAATTGTAAAACCTCCCTGTTTTGGTCAGTGTGGCATAGGAGTGGCTGTGGGACTGGGAAAAGCCACAGGTGTGCTGTGTGAGGCAGAGAGGCAGTTCTGCCCAGGTAACAAAACCAGCCCCAGGGCCACATCCTTGGTAAAATGTGTTTAAGTTTTGCAGCACAAGCCCTATTTCCTCCTCTTAGCTGGCAGAGGGGTTCCTCACCATATAGGCTGGCTGGACTTTAACTAGAGACAGAATGGCTCTGTTAGCCATGTAGTCATGGACAGAACAGCTTCCTCAAAGTTTGGCCTATATGAGGATAAGACTGCAGAGTCATACAGAAATGGCACTATGCTTAACAGTGAAGCTGTTAACATGAAGTTTCATCTTCAAACTACACCAGCCCAACCTATCAGTAACTAGCTCAATCTAGCTCTTGCAAGAAGAGGCACAAAAGCAGTCTGGCTCTTCTTTCTATCCACAGCCATGCCATCCTCTTCCTTGGTGCCAATTTTGATCTTCATTTTATGGCACAGGGAATTAAACCAGCAGAGACGCATCCACTGCTCACTTTCATTTTTCATGAGTTCTTTTTCTGCCTGTTTGGTGCCTTCAGTTAGTTCACTGCATGGTCAGCTGGGCAAGGGGCTGTGGGCTGGGGAGAGGGTGGGCTCTCCTGGGCTGTGGGCAGTAATACATATGTTCATTAGCTCAGCTGCAAAGTGAAGCCATGCAGCAAATACAGGGAGAGTTTTGAGTGGGCAGAGATGTTCAAGGGACAAGGCATCTATTTGGAAATCAGAGCAAGCCTTTATTCTGTGTCACAGAGACGAGGAAGAGAAGGAGGTTAGGGATCACACTTTAACATTATTTATTTTATTGATTAATGGCCCTTGTGGGCTTACTCTGAGCCTTTCTTCTTCCCTTTTTCTCATGTCTAAAGTTCTCTCTGTCTTGAAACTCTGAACCTTGTTTTAAACCCTTGCTATGCCTTGAGCAGGATTTATTGTTTGTCAGGGCACCCAAAGAAGGTCATTTAGCTTTGGGTGGAGGCTGAAACTGCTGTTGTTTAAGTTTTCAGGGAGAACCCCTAGATAAACGAATCCAGCTCTTTCAGCTGCTGCCAATTCCTGGCTGAAGGGTTACATAAACATACTCTAAACCTCAAGGGTATTATAAATAAATCTTATAAAATACTAACTTTTTTTAGTCTCTGAACAAAAAGGGTGCTAAACTGATTTAAACTCATAGTAAGAAAGGAATAAACCAGATGTTTATATAAAATATTAATCCTGACCTTGTTCTCAGTCATTTGTTTCTTACTGTTCTGTACCTTTACTGTTCTTATTAAAGTACTTCTTTTTTCTTTAAACAAATATTTTAAGTGTCATGTGTAATTATTGAAAATCTTCCTCAAGACTGTATAGATTCTAGTAAGTTAGCTTTTTGTGCCACCAGCTCAGCGGGAGTAAGGATTTGGCAAAGGATTGAAGCTTTGCAAGAGTCATCTCCAAACTTACTTTTCATTATCTAACTGTGTTAAAAAGCACATTCCACCACCTTTTTCAATATTTCTCAGAAGCTGAAAGGTGACCACCTCTCTGATGTGTACTTCTTGGTGAATATTTTGTCCCACTGACTCCTCAGACAAAACTCTGAAATCCTTGGGCAGCAGTGCTAGCGATAGCAATGGCTGGTTTGGGCGGAGATAGTTCTGTTATTACTCTAAACTGGCATTTCTGGGAAAAAAATCCCAAGTTCTGTGTCAAGGAAATACTGATCAGTTATAGCCCACCCTTGTTATAAGAAGATCCAGATTCAATTTGTCAACAGAGAAATGGAAAAGAGCCCTCAGCTGTCCCATTGGCCAGACAGAGGCTGAAGTTTAGAGAGTCTACATCTACTCATGTAGACACAAAAGTCTCCATGCTGAGGAGAACAGAGCAGGGAGGAGAGAGATCTCCCCCAGCATATCCAGGGACTGGAGGCTTGGGAGTTACTGGGATGTGGGGGACAGTCACTGGGATCCCTCATCTCTAGCAACAAGAGCAGAAAGTGATCTGACAGTTCTCCATACTCACATGGCCAAGGATATATTCTCCCTCTCTCTCATTTTCTGAATAATCCTGGCTTAATTCCAATATCAGAGTTAAGGAAAAATCTGTGTGTGCTAACGATAGTGTTTCCTGTCAAGTTCCATGCTACAGGGAACAGGCATATGCAGTTATTGTTACCTGAACTACTAAAAGTATTCAACCAAAATCTTTGTTTAAGGAGAACACTAAGAAAATTAGTTTAATGGCAGTCATTTAAGTCCTGGTCAAAGAATAATACATTCATGTGTGTGGTAATAAATACTGAGCCACTTTAAAACACATTTTCCCCATTTTTCATGCTTTAAACATCTCAGTCTTCAATTAGGAAGTAGATGAAAAGCTGTCCCAAAGGACATTGCAGTGAAAGGGTTTCATCTTTGTTTGCTGCTGCATTTTTAATTTTTGGTACATTTCTCTGTAGATGAATTGCTGGTAAACCTTTGTTTTTTTCTTGTTATTATTGTGCTTTTTCACTTCCCAGTTTCAAGCACAAATGGGGTTGTACAAGGTGGCATGCTAACAGCAGTGGGAGACAAAGGTCTCAGTGATTTACGGAGAGTGAGAACCACTGCGAGCTTCCTCAGCTTTGTGCTGCAGGACTGGGCTGCAGCAACTGTCCTGCAGAGGGGAAGGAAACAGCAATTTTTCCTTATCCCCTGGCACCTTTGCCAGCCATGGGCATATACCACTGCACTCAGTGGGAATGGCTGCACATCTGATATTCCCAAGCCTCCTGGGGTTTTACCTGGGATTCAGGTACACTCCCATGAAACAGATGGATCTATCAACACACTTTACATGCACCATCAAGTAAAAGCCAGATGTTACCAACTTCCAATTACTTCAGATTCTGACTGCATGCAGACATGTGAGTGAA